TTAAGATGGTGCAACTTTTGTCATGCAAATACATTAAATTACTTTGACTTACATTTAGGTTTCTTGAAATGCACATCTCCACTGCGGACTTGACTTCCCTGAAGCAGATGAATTATTTTAGTACAAAACATTTTTAAAATTTGACAAAATATTGTACAGCTTAGAAATATATTCCTATCCATACTAAAGTGGGAAAAGTTATTTGTGTGTAAAATACTGAACCAGAAACAAGGATTAATTCTGTTGGAGCTACTTTGCCAGTCCTCGCCAGTTGTATACCGTATCTGTGCTATTAATATATATATATATATAGTATATGCTTGCATAAATGACAGAGATATGTGTATGATTAAAATAAGTCATAATTTAATATCCAATTAAAAACAATAAATGTGATTTGGTTATATGCGCTTCTATTGGAGATTCGCTTCTAATAGAGCAAATCTGGTGAAAGAAACCACTCTATTCTATTATTATCACATGACCACAGTGCGTATTATTCACAGTTGTTAGGTTAAATGGGAAGATATGACAGGTAAACGATATTCATGTCACATGTACGAACAGCACACAGGAAAAAACGATACCATATTCATCGTATCGACTGGATAACGACAATTACTTGGCTGTACACTGACAATAAATTTTATTAATGACTGAAAAATATATTCAAAACCACCTGCAGATATATCTGCACTTGAACATCCACAGACACACAAAGACGCCATATCAAATTAGTATTCAATTCATATACATAGTTTGGTAAAATTATGATTTCTCGATGTCTTTTTGACAGTTGGGTTTATATAATGAATAGTTTATATTGCTTAACAGACAGACAATGATCTTAAATATTGTGAAAAACAGACACAAAAGAAAATAAAAAGTGTAACTGATGTGAAAACAATAAGGACAATGTATCAAAAAGGTAATAGGTCAATTGAAAGATTCAATAATGACAGATGTAATTACTTACTGGACACTGGCTGCAGTAGGACCTGCGATTCGTATTTCCCTCTCAGGACTGCATTTATCTGAACACAATAAATAGAAATAAGTCTTCATAGGTTATATATATACCAGTATGTATTCATTTTTACAAAAAATGTATTTATTTCACCAATTTTGGAAACAACGCATTGGACATTCACATTTTAAAATAACTTTATTTCAAAATATTAATGTGAAATTAGGCGTCATACTAATTTTTTCAGTTGAAAATTAATTTACTTGTTTTATATTCAAAATGAGAATATTCAAACTGAACAATATCAAAACTGAAAATCCAGTTTTCTGTCATAAATTTACTAAAGAGTTTTATTCGTATGACTACCCTGCCAGATATTGTGAAGAAATGTGCAATTGAAACTCAAACTAAATTAAAAACTAAGAGGAAATATGTTACTTTAATATGTAGACATGTAAGGCTGTTCAATACAATTTCAGTAAAATATTAAAAATACTCCGTGACACTGTAGACCTTAGAAAGAGGTGTAAGGTGAAACGACTGATCATTATTACACATTGTCATATGCCAATTTGAGGGTCAAAAATTGTCAAGAACAAGGTGTATTTCACAATTATACTTTCACATAAAGTCTTACACATTTTGCTTCACTGTCACATTATTTACATCACGTTCCCATACAATGGCTGGTCACTTTGCATTTTTAATCCAAACAAACAAACAAGTGAAAATAAAGAATGTAACTAAAACAGCACAAAAAATGAAAATAAAACTACTGATCAATCATAATCTGAAATCATTGCTGTCCATACATGCAATTAACTATGTGAAGTAATGCTATTTTTTTATTTTATATAATTATCTTTATCAATTTAGCTTTCTGTTAAAATGTTGTTAACGCCATGGTTAAACCTGGGATCTGAGGGATGCTTGCATTGGAGTTAAACATGAGGAATCCGACAAATTGCAAAAAATACAAAATTCATTATAATTCTGATTTTTCATATTTAATGTTATGACCATTGATTGCATTTCCATATTTGGGCACAGCCTCACCCAGGTTTATCAATAGTTTTGAAAAATTATAGAAGATGAAAGATGTAGATTATTAACAATGAGTTTTATAATTTAATCAGGTGTTTCTAAAGTTTTTAACATTTCAATATTAACCATATACCTTTTGTTACTTCAATGATAGTGTCTGTCTTCGATCGAATACTGTTGATTACCTCCCCAGCAACCCCCATAACTGTTTACATACACGATACATACACAAGAGTGAACGGAATAGGAGAACGTGCAGTAAAATACTTAGATGGTTATTTGCAGCTAACTCAAAATACACCTATATCACAAGTTTTGACCAAATGTCTATGTGTATGATACAGCAAGATATTTGAGTTTGCCGCGAATAACCCATTTAGACATAACTGTTATATTTAGTAAACTGATAAGATAAGATTGTGACTATAGTGGAGATAAACATACTGCTTCCTGCACTGAGTTGACGAGCATCATACATATAGAAGGTATGTTATTTGGACATTTGTTTTTTGTAAACACAAACTGGCAGTGTGCTTATGATAGTTTTTCTGTATTTCTGGATAAATTAGTACTGTAAAATCTGTATTAGAAGCCGCATCCCTAATAGAAGTCGCACCCATTCTTTTTGAATGTTTGAGAACCAAAAATTCATCATTTCTCATATGTGTAGATGCTCTAATAGAAGCCGCATCCCCTCTGTTGCATTGTACCATTTTAATAGAAGCCACGGTTTCTAATACAGATTTTACAGTAATTAAATGTTGTTTCCAAAGTGCACAATGATGTTCCAAATATAATCATGTTTTACTCAAACAAAAGCAAGTTAGATCGTATGGGTATAGGCGCCCCAAAAAACATCATCAAGCAATTATGATCGTTTTAGTTTTTTTCTCCAACTGTGATAATTTGAGATGATGATGACATGCAAAAAATTATCCTAGTAATTAGGAACATGTCAAATACAAAAAGAGTAAAAATTTGAGAACAGTGTAATGGTATTGGATCTTAATTGGCTGTCTGTCTATAGCATTATACTTTAGATTGCACAACATTAGGTAATATTGTGGCTTGATGTCTACACTTCTGTGAATCGTTTTGATCAACAAAAGTATATTTAGGTTTTTGTAATCAAGGTGTCCACCCTCATTTCAATACTACTATATTATTGTTTGCTGTGTCATTTCAACATTTTATATGTACAAACTGAGAACAATTAATAGAAATATGCGCATAACACAATTCCATGTATGATAATATTGATCATCTCCCCAGCTGCCCTCATAATTGGGCAAGCAAGAGGAATACAAAACGATGTTCTTAGTTTACGAATTACAATATAAACAAATTTAAACCATTCTGTAAACACTGAACGCAAAATGAACAATCGGCTAGCATAAAATTGAGACAAAGGTTTTTTTACCTCGCAGATTGAACAGTAATTGTACAAAATTTACAGATAATTCCATGGAACGAAAAACGTTAGTCACACCAAATATGATAAATTAAAGCAATGACTTGAACATACTAGCTAGAATTATGTATGCTCAGTTATAGGTTCTTAGCTACAGGCAAACTTGTACAAAGACAAATGTCAGGTTGCCTAACAATACGCCAATATAAGTGTTGAAAAGTTTTATTAAATATATCCAGTGTACTGTTCAGTGCTAGGTTGCTTAGGAACATGCAAACTTGTACCATGTACAGTGATAGTTTACTGAGCTTCTAAGAACGCTGCAAAATGTTATCGCACATACAGATGCACATAATATTTGAAATATGCTTATAAAAGAAAAAACGTACTACAATAAAAGTAACCATATATAAACATACAAAGTAATTACTCTACCTGCACCTATTTCCCGTCTATTCACAACTACGACATCAAAATATTCGTCTGTCAGTCTGCAGCGGCTTGGCTTAATAATTTCAACGTTGGACAATGATTCAGGAGTAGTATCCATACTGGTCATCTCAATATCCTGACAAAAACAACACTTCAATTCATATCAGGCCATAAAAACAATACGACACACTTGGTAGCTTTAAACCTTGCAATGCATTCCAGATCAATGTGGTCATTTTCAAAAAATGTTGTCCAAAACATTTCCCTCCAGCAGTATATCAACAATGTACAATAAATGACACTACAGACCCACTAATGATGAATAGTTGAATGCAGAGTTCACTTACCATAATCTGGGATGAGTTCACTTACCATATCTCGGATTTCAAATGATGAATAGTTGAATGTAGAGTTCACTTACCATATCTGGGATTTCAAATGATGAATAGTTGAATGCAGAGTTCACTTACCATATCTGGGATTTCAAATGATGAATAGTTGAATGCAGAGTTCACTTACCATATCTGGGATTTCAAGTTTGGATAGTTTATCCTTATAATAAGATGTCTTGTGTACCCAGCCTGCGGCTCTCAATTCAACGACTTCCAACAGCTGAATTCGAGATATGAAGTCCAAGCGTAGATCATGCGAGAGATTTCGAAAACTTGAAATAATGTTATTGATTTTTCCTGTAAATATAACAAAGTAAAGTAAACTTGAAAAGCACAAAAGAGCAAAAACCAAAAGGAAACTAAAAACCAGATTTTCTAGACCAGTTATTACATTGACATTTCCTTTGACTTTGCTAAATAAAAGCATAAAGCAATAACCAAGCTGGTTTCTGACATATTCAATTTGGATAAAACACAATCCTTTTATAAGAAGGTAAACAAGCCCTGATTCAAATTCTAACTCAGACTCTAGTCTCTTATTCGTAATTTAATTTACAGAAAACACACAAAATGATAAAAAAATAGTTTGAAATTACAGTACTATAACTGGGACAGTTGGAGACAAACAAACATATATTTTTCATCCCCATGCTTGTCCCTAATTTTCATATACAGGTATA